GGGACCTTCCTTCAGTCGACTGAAGAATCACCAGGATCCGGTTTGTTTTGATTAGGAGCAGCTCATCATGATCGCTACTTCCCAATTGATGAATGCCTCTAACAGCAGGTAAATCGGCGTGGATCCAGCTCGGCTATGTTCAGCACGCTCCTTCGGAATATCTTGGATATCTGGCTTAAGTCGACAGCCAAACAGGCGCGACTTCCAACCTATCAGGGATGGAGAATCAATCAAATCTATCCAGCCGATTAATTTGAGGTGGTTGGCATCGGTTGGTGTTGGTGTTGGTGTTTGCGTTGGCATTGGTGCTGGAGTTGAATCCCTTTGAGAGACTTGCAGTTTGATAACGCAACGGGACCCCATCATTCATTCACAAATGCTTTTTCGCCATGTGAATTCATTTTTCTGACTGAAACACGACAACGTCCTGGAATTAAACGTCGTTTCACAATTAAGTAACGTAGGGTCATTTCAGTGGAAAGTGACGAGATTTGCCCAAATTCCATATCCTAGGCTTCCACCTTCCGGTGGCCAGCGAGAGAGAGGGCTGAGCAGCGAGGACTGAGCAGGCCTTGCACAACATTTGGCGATATGGCGATTGAGTCAGAGCATGGTTTACAAGCCGCTGGAAGGAATTGTCCCTGTGATGTCTCTGACGGGCTATGAAACCACTTGCAGCTCCTTCACTTCACTTCCGCCGTTGAGGTCCATCTCTCTTTTTGAGTATGCCCCCTCAGCCATACCAGCGGCTGGCACAGCGCTTGCACCGCATATAACCCCGAGGGTGGGCGTCATCACACGCCATCCTGAACCGCCCCAGCATGCCCTCCCCAGAGCGGACCAACAATCAGACCGAGAATGTATGTCAAACTTCCCTAATCCAAACACATGCGCATATGCTCACTGTGCTCCATCATGCGCGAGATTTTCTTGTACTCTCTCCGCAACGAATAGAACGATTTCGATCTGTACTGGGGCTTATAAGAGTGTTGCAAAACGGCCATAGAAAGAGGGAAGGGTACAGAAAAGGGCGTTATCATGCAACGCATTCTATGGCTCGATGCTAATAGAACTATTAGGACCATGCCTATCAGCCAGCCAGCCTATTACAGGAGCTATATATGTGGGCATCAGAACTGCAAGAAAAACGAGACCGACAGAGCCGCAGCGAAATGTGGCATGAACGAATAACAGGACAGTGGCCACGAAAGCTCCGAATAATATGGGCAAAACTTCACAGCCCCAGAGAGCAACAAGGACGCGAATTGAGCTCAGTATTGTGATGAGAGACGGCAGACGGTAGACAAAACGAGAAACCTTGTTGCACTAACACTGATAACGACTGGGAACTCTTTCTCCTGGTTTTGGAGATAGCCCTTCAGACCCCTCCGGGTTTTAGTAGAGAAATCCTCCCAGGCCATCTGCAGACCAATTGACGGATCCTGAGCTTCAATCCTTACTAGTCAAAAAAGAAATTGCCCTAAGGAAACAAATGCAATTATGTACAGCATGTCATACCCTTTTTCGCATATTAATAACCATCTACGAGTGGCTCGCTGACTCTCGCAATCCTTCAAGTCGCAACGATCGTTCCTAGTTGTGCTCCGATTGCTGTGACCCATGACCCAACTCTGTCCGCCAACTTTGACGGGGCGATGGCTGGCCCAACTTCACCTGATATGCCTGCCCCGTAGCATTCAGGGGATGATTAACATAACCAAATTCGCTGCGATTGCGAACATGAGGCTTGTTTCCGCCAGCAGTAAAGGCCAAACATGAAAGGTACATTGCGACTTGTCCGCCCACCAGCCGCATATTGCTAAGCGTCTGAGCATAGAACGGGTAATGATTTTGATATGTTCTCTACGAAATAGGAAAGAAATCAAATATACTAACGCCATCCAACGACTAAACCAGTATGTTGTTGTTGTTGTTCTTCTTATTTTTTCTAAGGCCATATGCAGTCTGAGACTATGACAGCCTTCACCTCACTAGCCTACCCTTATGTTCAGCTACTCTCTAGTTACATTTCTCTATTCATAACTGAGTCATCCTTGATGGAGAGACTTCACTATACCATTCTGGATCTAGCCCTCAAGGGGGGCCTTGCCCCACAATTTCTCACGCAATACTAAGCAGTCCCTTGTCACTTGGACTATCCGTAGACATGTAAGAATCACAACACCTTAGGATCCCACACTATACTGAATCCATCTAGACTATATACATAGTGTTGAACATTGCTCCACCCTGCAGTGGCACCAAGATGTGATAATATCCTTTGGAGAGGGTGGGATTCGAACCCACTACCTTCTTGTCTCAGCAGAGGTGGCCCCAACACCAAGTGCCTACTTGAGAAAGCATTCCATGAACAGCGCTTACCACTACGCCATCCACCCCCCCACTAAACCAGTATCTTTCACGGTAAGGAAAATTGACATCCATTTTGGAGCTATGGTTCACCTTCCTCCTTCTCGCGCCGACCGGGAAACGCTGGCCTGTACCACGCCTTGCCATCAGTTAAACAGCGCAGACGGTTCAGCGGCTGGGTCTCTCCTATGTCAGGGCCCGGCATCCTTTCACTTCACCAGGCTGGTCATCCACCGGGTGTTATCTATCAATCCATCATCCGTCGAAACAACGGTATACATATAGCAGCCATAGTGCACCTACTTAATATGAAGGATAATAGGAAATGCTCACCTTCACTAGGATCAAGCCCAACCCGATCAGTAAGCGCGAATGGCATCACTACATTCCACCCTTCAGCGTGTATTCTTACTTCACCTCCATCAAATTCTATCCGATCATACTGGGATCCAAAATTAAGCCGATCAGAACGAGCCAGCAGCGTACCAATGCATATTGGGAAGAATATCATAATTACCAACAAGCCATCAAATCAATAGAGCAGGTTAATTCATCTCTATCGAGAGGTTTTTCTTACTGTAACAATGCCATTATCTAGAACACAAAATGTCGTGTTTGATGAACACATTGTATACAATGACTTCACCGAAGGTTCCCCGTTGGAATTTAGCAGCCCTCCAAAGTTGTTTAGTTGCCCCTCTACTGCAATGTTCAGCCGAAAATGCCTTGAATGTGTGGAGCGAAGACTGCAGCTGTCAGCTGAAACTGATATCAACTGG